TTGGTCTTGAGCAAGTTATCTACTGATGTTTGTGTGTCTGTTTGTTCTCAGTATATACAGTGGTAAAAATAAAATCCTAATATTACATGTAGTAAAATAAACTGTGACTGGGCGGTGTGATGCTGTCTGGACATGATCTATTTTTATGTGCTTGCACAGCACATGGCTTTGTGCCTCTGTGCTGTCTCTGACACTTAATTGTTATTATTACTTTGACACACTGTTTTGAATCTTTTATTTATGTATGTATTTATTTATTTACATTATATATTTTTATGGTGTCATTTGTTTTATTTTATTATTTTGTTTTATTTATTTTATTTAAAAAATATGATATAAAAATGTATTAATTTAATTTAATTTAATTTTTAGGAACACACCCCTGTATAGGCACAAACCTAGTCTTTCTAAAAAAAAATGACTATAATTATTATGATATATAATATATTATGAATATAATTTTTTATTATATATAAATAAGATTTTTTTATAAATATAATTTTTTATACAATATAAATATATTTTTTATATTTTGTTGTTGTTTCTGTCATGTAATGGTTTTGTAAGATGTTTAATTATTTTATTTTACCAAACAACTTGGACATTTAGATGTATTTGATGTTATTTTGTAATTTTTTTAAATTCCTTTTCTGTATAGGAACAATAAATAAAAAAGGACTTAACATTTTTTTGTTGTTTGGTTTGTTGTTTAATTTAATTTAATTTAATTTAATTAACAGCTAGTTAACTGATGTAGGCGTAAGCTTTGTCACAATAAATTGTATATCATTCAAAACATCTCAAAAGTCAACTATGCCATTTATTATTTGCAGTGAGAGAGCTGTACGTTAATGTGTTATTTCATTTCAAGAGACCTGACATGCTGCTTTGCATCATATTTTTTTTTATTAACTTCAGTAACAGTTGATTCTTGTCTTTTTTTGATTGCACGTGACTGAGCAGGTGCCGTGTTGAGTCCTACAAAACACACATTGGCCAAGTGGAAATAAAATATGAGCCCTTGGAGAGATACATTTCCATGGAATCTCCCAATCTAAGTGTGCAGATTGCAGTGTTTCTTCCTGTTTTCCTGTTATTATTCCATTTCCTGTCTGTAAGTAGAAGGATTAAAATAGCCATACTAAAATGTATTGCTCTCTGGGGGAACCATTTGTGTAGAAGACATTTAAGAGAGGAGCCTCTTTCTTAGTGCAGGCCCCTATAGTGCTAAAACTTCATGAGCTCTCTGAGACGATGCCACTGACTCATGAAAAGGTGGGCATGACAGGAACAGGATGTGAAAGACAAACTCTGTGACTGCGTATGTATTGATGACACCCAGACTAAGAGCATCGCGATAACAATTGTTTGCACTCTCGCCTTGTTTTTGAAATGACAATATTGTTTGGAGCCCTCGGTGGTGAACATAAAGCTCTGACAGATGGAAAACAATCTCTATCTCTCCTCGAAATGAGATTGTGGGTGGAAAATCTGTTGGTTCTCACCAAATTTCCAAAATCATGCTAATTGTTTTCTCTGTGTAAAAGCAGCCTTTTCCTATATATATTACAAGTTGGACCTTTTGATGTTTTTTGTTTTGTTTTGTTCTGTATATAAATAAAAAAAAAGGATAGAACTTTTTTTTGTCTAACTATTGCTGCAAGTTCCGTTGAACTAATGACAGTAAAGACGGAACTTATGACTATAGTTGTTTTTGGGAAACTTATCCCTGTATAGACACAAACCTAGTCTTTATAAATAAAAAGACAACATTTTTTGTTTTGTTTAGTATTTTTGTTGTTGTTCTTGTTTCTGTCATGTTGTAATGGTTTGTAAGATGTTTAATTATTTTGTTTTAACAAACAAGTTTGACATTTAGATTATAGATTAGATAGTATTTGTCTATGCATATGTTATTTTGTATTTTAAAAGCCATTTTCTGTATAGACACAAACCTAGTGTTTATAAACAAAAAAGGACTTCACAGTTTTGTTTTGTATTTTTGTTGTTGTTGTTCTTGTTTCTGTCATGTTGTAATGGTTTCTAAGATGTTTAATTATTTTGTTTTACCAAACAAGTTTAAACAAACCTTTTGATGTATTTGACCGATTTAAATGAAACTATGACAGTTTGCTTGCTAAATAAATAAATAAATAAATGGGATCAAAATAAAGCAATATGATTCTGTAATAAAAACAATTGCCACGGATGGGTTACTGTGATGACATTGCATATTTAAGGCTTGTGCATATGCACCAATGCAAAATGTGACGCAAAACATCAGGGAATCCTGTGTGTTTATGTGTGAGAGAGAGCGAGGGAGAGGGAGACTGTGGGTGAGTTGTTCTTTTCTTAGACAGGTGTAACAGGAGACTAACCTGTGCGACTGCATGGCTTTAAACAATAGCATGCATTATTTAAGTTCATATTGCTTTCAATGGCCATGCCAAACCCTGTCTCAGCAGAAAAACTACAGTGATGCAACACCACAAAATAAAAGCACATTAAAAACAGAATTCCCTTGCGGAGGCAGATATCAAGATTTTAACATTTGCCTCTCGCTATTTATTTAGTTAATCAACACAGTTGATGCATTCCAATAATGCGCTTTCTTTCATTTAATTTCACGCATGAGCCATTAAATCAATTAGGCACTTTTCTATTAGAGCACCAGAGACAAAGTTCACTTCAAGATGGATTTTACATTAATGAAAAATGGGGGACTTTGACTTTCAACATGAAACTTTCTACACTGAATTTTGTTTTAAATTGAAGGATCACATATTAAAAAGTTGCATCTTTTTTGCACACATTTGCATACAAAACTTGCTTAATATATTTAAAACAACTGCAAGATCTACTCTAGAAAACTGGAAGAACCAAATGATCCTTATTAATTTTTGAATAAAGCTCATTTCTTAAATGCGTCCATGACCTACATTGTTTATGAAGTATGCTGGCATATCTGTTAATGCATCTGCAATTGAACGTACATTTTGAGAATTGCAATTAATAAGCTCCATAAAGGAAGTACCAGCATAGAAGCTGAAATGCATTTTATTAATAGGTTTCCTTGCTGCATGGGCCAATTATATTACATGCAGGCTCATTTTAGCATACCCATTTATTGTTCTGCCCTGTGTTGTACCGTTACATATGCATATGGAAGCTTTTTATGGTGTATGCCATGGAGGTGGGAAACTGAGAGCAAAGGATGATTGGAACTGCTTTGATGCTTTAACTGCTGAAAATATTAGAGCATATTATGATGTCTAATAAGGAAGTAGGTTTGTTTCTCAACTACAAACAGTTATTTTACCCCCATTAAATTCAGTGACAGTTCATTGGTCTAATAATGAGTTTAGCATATTATGAAATTGTTTATTTATATTCTGCTTGTGCTTCTCCACCATAATTTTTAACTTGTTTGCAGATCTGAAAGGAGGCCACAGAACATGTACAGTAATAAAGAGCTGCTTGTTTATGCCACTACTGCTGTAGGAAGTGACAGCTCTGCCAGTATTATTAACACTCCCATCAACACTCTCACCGCAGGGAATATGCAGCTCCCCCTCAAGTGGCAATGGAAAACGTGCCAGCTATTGTGAGATTCCGAAGGGAGCGTAATACAGTGCCTGTATGCTTCTGAAAGTGCACTTGAGAGCAAGACAGGTAAATGAGACAGCAAATTTAAAGAGCTAAGCCTGTTTGGAAGTTCAGGTTACCGTTGGGCTGGACTGAAAAATCTAATTTGGTGTTCCCAGTCAAAATTTACCGGCCTGTAAATGTTTCATTATGCTATATTATCACCAAATATTTGGATTCAGTCTTCTTGTCAATTTGTTTTATTTCAATTAGCACAGGTTTAAAATTTATTTTTGGAACAGATTGATTGTAGGCCTCATTAATCGGAGTTTATGCACCTCAGGTTTTGAGGGAACACTGCCAAAATTATCCACAAAAAAGTGAGGTGCATAAGCGCAGATCAACGAGGCCTATGCCCAATCAGTTCCAAAAAGAAATTAAACCTGTGCTAAGTGAAAGAAAACAAGTTGACAAAAGATTGGCAATCACTAGTGTGGGACCAAAATTCCCCCAAAAGTATAACAATTATTAAAATATTGTAATACCCTGTGTTAGCAAAGTCAGTACGTTTTAGTCTAATGCAGTAACAAGAAAATCCTCTATGGGTCAAAATGACCATCAGTCAAAAACAACTCTACTTGACTTTAGCTAACATAGCAGATAATGTTTGACATCGATGTACATTTTACAATTTTATTGGTGTTCACAGAAACAAACCACATTGTTTAAAAAATAATGTATTTTGTTTACACATTATGTATTTAATATATACATCTCTGTACATCAGGAAAATTGTCTCTTTTGCACAGCAAAGATAAAACATTTATGTCTGCAAGAACATATATCAAAACAATGTTATGCACATAAATAATAACATAATACTTGTCTGAATTCCACCACAGTGCAAAATTAAAAAAGGGGGGAAAATATGAATGGAACATCCTGAAAGGAAAGTAGTTTTGTAACTCATTCAGTTAGTTTAGACACCACAAAGTCTGAGTTACATATTTCAGGACTGTTGCTTCTCAATTAAAAAAAAGAAAGAGAAGGAGAAACAGAAACAGAAAAAGGAAGAAAAAGCATTTCCTTGAGGGAAACTTATTAGGTAAACAAGATCATTCCTAAAACCTCTTACACCATAGAGAGGTTAAGCAGAGACTGTAAGCGTCTTATTGCGCAGAGCAACTCTGGTGCTTCCATCCAGACCCCTAATGAGGGATTATTGTGCAAGTGTCTGTTAAGTCCACAAACATTTCCATGGCTTGTGTCTCAAAACCTAGTGAGCTGCCTATCTTGACAGCATTTTGTGGGCACTCTGAATCAGCTGAACTCAAAAGTTTGCAGTGCAGGTTGTAACTTTGGCACCACTTTGATTTTACTTCCGGCGGCAATCAAATTTTAATAAACTTTTTAAATTTTTTTTACAGAGAGCAGCAGTTTTGGCCCAAACTTGATGTGTAGGTAGGCAGCTCGATAGGTTTTAAAACACACCCCGTGAATTCTAACGTTGCGCTTTCAAGTCAAGTGGATGAAATGGCACATTCGTGCACCCAAACGCGTTTCTTCTTTACCACGAAGCATCGTGTCTTTATTATATTCAAGAAAGGTCAGCCGACTTCTTGCATTTTCCTATCCACAGTGCCACTGGCAAGAGAAACGGTCTCTTGGTTGCTGTCTATGGAAGACTCGCTGCCTGTGCTCTCCCCAGACAGCAGGCGAGTCACCCTCAGATCGGCTTTTAGCATCTGCACGTCGTTCCCTATACTCATGGAGCCCAAGTCATTGATAATCTGGCACAGTTCTTGCTTGCCGTTGGCCACACAGTCGCTGACGGTGTCCAGAATATCCTCGCACTCAAAGTGCATGGCTTTCTCCTCCTCCTCCTCCCCGATCAGGTCCTCCGTGATGGAGCCCAGCTTGGGTGCGCTCCTGCTGCGCTCCACCGGGGGCTTGTAGTAACACTGTCCGTTTAGCAGCTTCCTCAGGGGCACCAGGGGAATCGTTTGCTCCCCGATTAACTGCTGTTGCTGGTGCCTGGCGTCGTCCCTTCTTTTGAGTCTTTTAAACTCGGCCAGCGCTGTCGCGGAGGTCTGGTAGAGGAGCAGCGCCATGGCCTTCGCCTTCTCCGGCTTGGACACCAGCACGGCGTGACAGCGCAGCATCACCGCCTTGTGCTTCATCTCGTGCCGGTAGATCCAGGCGAAGATCTTGGGAAGCCGCGGGTCTGCGACACAGTAGGTGATCCTGTGCAATAAATACAGGTGTCCTGGTCTCTTCGCCTTTTCGTCGACGTGGACCATGCGGATGCCCTGCGAGCTGATGGTCAGCTTCATCTTGGTGCCGTTCTTGCCCATCTCGCTCTTGCCCCAGATCTTACTGACGGCCACGTCTATGCATCCATCCCCCTTGGACTGGATGGTGGTGGCATTGCCCAGGTACAAGACTGTGTACGTGGGGTCCTCGCTGGTGATCTTCACCTTTTTCCGCTTGGATTTGAACATGCTCCCGACTCTGTTGAGCGCGCTTTCTGGGCAAGATTTGGCGAAGGAGGTGAGCGCAGAGTTGAGGCTCACGGCATAGCCCTTCTGCTTGGACTGCTGCTTGTCTTCCTCGATCAGCTCGAACTTGTTCTTCTTCCAAGGCAACATAATGGTCGTGTTGAGGAAAGTGAAGCTGCTAAGTCTACTCTGGTAATTCTATTACGCCTAAATTGTACCGCGAAACAGGCTGTAGTCATCTATAGGCTTGCTTTAAGACATTTTCAAAATTGCAGAGCACTTCATAGACCTGTGAGCGGAGGAGTCTCGCGTCGGACTCTAGGCTCGCAGCATCGCTAAAAACACACTGTACAGTACAAGCGAGAAACAGCGACTTATATATCGGAATGAACCACCTCAGCTTCACGGAGGGGTCGACAGAGTGAGGACGATACCAAAACCTGGGCTTAAAACTCTCTGGGATTTTGTACTCAGCTGTTGCTCATGTTTCCATGAATTTATTTATTAAGGATATTCATTTATTTATTTTAAGTGTTTCATATCGGCCTATTTGTTTTCATTTATGTATAGACTTATGCGCATGTCAATAAGTAAAGACATGATTTAATTTTGATAAGTTTGGGGCCAATAAAATGTTTTTCACAGCAAATATAATATTTACTGATTTCAATGTGAAAACAAGCACAAAACCTTCATTTAATTTATATAACGTTAAAATGTAATAGAGCCTGCAATATAAAAAGTAATGCAACCGTATACAACCTGATATTAGCCTATATGTAACAATAATACTATTTAATTATTATTTAATTATTTAATCTCATTCCATCCTGATGATCCGACGGTAGCTACTCGCATCTCAGCATGTCTAACAGACATAATTAAATAGTGAAATTGTAAGCAGGCAACCTATAATATTTATTATTATTATTATAGGTTATATTACAAGTCTTAAATATATTAGTATTATTAATAATAATGATTATAGAATTATATAATAATAATGTATAATTAATAATTAAATATTTCTATTACTGAATGTATTAAAATGATTGTCCCGGCCTCGGCTACTAGAGAGGCGTGGAGAAGAAGGGTTTGGGGGAATCTGAAACTTGTTATGTGACGTCCTCTGCTGGTAGCAAGCGAACAGTCATCCGGAACTTTTTTAAGTGCTTACCTTTTCCGCGGACATATTTTAGTGAGACACCTGGGACAAACCAAAAGTTTAGCGACGATTTATCTTTTCGTTTTTTTTTTCCCTTCAGTCAGTTCTATCAACCTTTAAACTGTAAACATATGCGCTGGACTAAAATGAACGAACCTGAAAGAACATCAATTATATTCGGGATCTAAACGTATTAAGGCTCTGAAGAAGAAGTTAATCTCATAGACCATTCCGTATGACTTCCTTCCTCTACCATAACAAACATGTCACATGGGTGAAGTTCTGTCCGCTCTAATGTCCACGAACAGCTCACGGACACAGTTATATGATTGTTTAACCGTGTAAAAGTATATAAGATGGCAAAGAAGAAGACTCGTGGAGAGGGTTCGGGGTTGGGGAGAGCTTTAATAAAGGAGAGACTGAACGCAGGCCGTGGATACAGGAGAAACGACACATGGGTAAGAAATTGTGACAGTCTAATCCTAAAGTGTTTTACTTTTTCTTTCACATGTACCAGAATATTGCAGAGGTAATATGGCGCATTTATAAAATAAGATCAGAAAATATAACTTAATATTTTGTCACTTATACAAAAATAAATGAATAAAATAAAGCATACGATATGTGTAACAGAACCAAGTAATTTAAAAAGATTTTTTCCCCAGCTCAGACCATCAACACACAATATCAGTAAACCAAAACAAAACATGCATACTACAAATTATCTTGAAATTGAATGTTTTTCTTTATGCAAGAGGGAAACAGTTGGAGTGTTAACTTGATTCAGTGGATGTAAATCTGATGTATAATAATTGTTTTATGTCTTTTAGCTTCACACCAGTGAGCTGAATGATGGATATGATTGGGGTCGACTCAACCTACAGTCTGTCACAGAGCAGAGCTCTCTGGACGACTTTCTGGCCACAGCTGAACTTGCTGGAACTGAATTTGTTGCAGGTAAGTGTTTATTATATCTCTGGATAATTTGTACGATTATTTCTAGGAATCAGGTTTATTATCGTTAACTAAAACAATTAGAAATGTTTTTTATTAATTTAAATTAATTTGAAGTGAATAAAATACAATATACAATAAATATTAGAATCATATTATTTGAAAAGCTTCAACTAAACAATAATAAGAAATGTTGCAACTAACTGAAATAAGATGAAGGTGAATATTACTGGAAATAAATAAAAACTAAAACTGAAATAAAATAAACCTAAATACCAATATAAAAAAAAAGACTAATAAAAATGACAAAGCACATAACAAATGACAAAAATTGAACAAAAATTTAAATGAAAACTGAAAATATCAAAATAAAGACGAATGAAAAATAGAATAGTATATTAATAACACTAAAATAACACTGCTAGGAACAGAATAATAAATGTGTTATTTTTTTGCAGAGAAGCTGAACATAAAATTTGTCCCAGCTGAAGCGAGGGCCGGCTTGCTTTCTGCTGAGGAGTCCACACGACTGAAGAAACTCCATGAGGACAACAAACAGTTCTTACGAATTCCCCGAAGGTATGTTGTTGTGTAATTAAATGTGATTTCTATAAACCTGTATGAACGTTCCATTGATCTGTTGTAGATACACAATTACGCAAAAGCTAATTTATTCAGCTTTTTGCTTTGTCACTACAGGCCTCCTTGGGACGAGAGCACAAGCCCTGAGGTTCTGCAGCAAAACGAGAGGGACAGTTTCCTTATATGGAGAAGAGAACTGGCTCGGTGAATGTTTGATAAATTTAGTCCATATACACTAGCAAATCCAATTCTCTAACAGGATAGTGTTTGTGAGCAAATGCGATTTCTGTAATAGGTTGGAAGAGGAACAGAAGTTGATTCTTACCCCTTTTGAGAGGAATCTTGATTTCTGGAGGCAACTCTGGAGAGTCATTGAGAGGAGGTGAGCTTTTGCTTGCCTGATTAATACAATGGAGATTTCATTTGTGCTCTTCACTATCTAATCACACTTTGATGTAGGAATGATGGTTTCTTAGGGTACTATTTATTTTTTTGCTTTATCCTCAGTGATGTTGTGGTACAAATTGTTGATGCCAGAAACCCGCTTCTCTTCCGCTGTCTAGATCTTGTAAGTAACTGAGACATCAGACCAAAACAATTATACTCATAACTCTTTTTTTTTTTTTTAATCATGCTTTAATTTCTGTCTCCGTCAGGAAAAATATGTAAAAGAGGCCTCAGTTCACGAAGTAAACATGCTTCTTCTGAACAAAGCCGACCTGCTCACTAGAGAACAACGGCGAGCTTGGGCCCGATACTTCCAGAAAGAGGGGATCAGAGCAGTGTTCTGGTCTGCTTTAGCTGAGGCACAACGACTCGAGGCGGAGGAGAAGGTAATATATGGAGCTGGTCTGCAGTGATGCACTAAAAGTAATAGTAGTTGTTGTTAGTAGGATTGAATTTGGGCTTTGCAATTTTCAGGTAATTAAAAATGTAAAGAAAAAAAACAAGTGCATATTTAATTTTTTTTTTAAATGTTTTATTCATTCAAGAATTAAAAAAAAATAAATAAATGACCAAATATTTCACAAAAGTATTAAGCAGCACAACTGTTTCAACATTGATTATAATAATACTAATAATAGTAAAATGTTTCTTGAACAGCAAATCAGCATATTAGATTGATTTCTGAAGGATCTTGTGACTGGAGAAAATTAGACTTTGCATCACAGAAATAAATTACGTTTAAATATATATTAAAGGTGGGGTATGTATTTTTTCAAAAACACTTTAGAAAACTGAGTCGGGCCGAGTACCAAAACAAACTTGTAGCCAATCAGCAGTAAGGGGCATGTCTACTCATGATGTGGAGGAGAGAGCGCTCAGTGCACAGGACAGACATTAGCCAAGCCGAGTGACAGAAAGATAGAGATAGTGGATAAAAAAACAAAAGAGGAAAACGTCTGCGGAACAAAAGAAGGCTTATGATAAGGCAAGAAGTAGGACCTGTGTAAATATCGGATCAGCTTTCCAGCGCTGGAGAGAACTCAAGGAGCGGAAGGCCTGCGATCGGACGCCGAGGTTGCTTTGTTTCTTCTCGATAGGTGAGCTAGTCTGTCTACACTGGACGCGACAAAGCGACAGTTGAAAATCATTTAAAATTTGTGTCAATACATCATAAATAGAACGCAGCAGCAGTTTTCTGTCGGGGATTTGTCATGTCACGTCGCGCCGCATCCAGTGTAGACAGTATCACTGATTATAATGAGTTCTATAGTATTTTGTCGTGCCGCTTGCATCCGGTGTAGACACGGTGTAACATTGGTTTTGCTTTGTTTCACAGAACTAATCGTTGCCTGGGTTGCGTATGTATGTGTGGGGCGGAGCTATCAAAATAGGGGCGAGACCCTTTTGGGGTAGGGGCGTGTTTGTTTTGGTGATTTGAAATATCAACATTGGCTACCAGAAATCACTTACCCCACCTTTAAACTAGAAAACAATTATTTGTAATAACATTTCACAATATCACTGTATGTACTTGTATGTATGCATCAAATACATGCAGCCTTGGTGAGCATAGGGGAATTCTTTCAAAACCATATTTTTTCTAGGTTTCAGTGAACATTTTTGTTAAAGGGGTCATATGATGTTGCTAAAAAGAACATTTTTTTGTGTTCTTTATGCACCAAGAGCTTGTAACACTTCAAAGAGAAAGGAAAAATTTAAATCGCATCATATGACCCCTTTAATGATGCAAATGAATCTTTGATTTGAATTGATTCATTATTTTCGTAAGCATTGTTTCTTTTAAGGGAATCGAATGCCTGCTTTCATTACTCTGTTTCTCCTTCATGTTTGGTGGTTAAGGGAGAAGAGCTGATGGACCAAGAGGATCAGAGTGATACAGAACAGGAAGCAACCTCCAAAAATGTCACAGATCTTCATGAGGAAAATAGCACTTCACCTAATGAAGAGAAAGATGACAGTGAGCAAGAGGAAGAAGCGGAAAGTGAAGAAGGAAGAGTTTGTGTCGATGAGACAGAATGGCAGACATGCTCTGAGGAATCAGGAGACGAAGATCATGCTGAGGAGAAACCAGAATCCACAACGGTTTCATCTTTCTACAACTCCAGCCGTTTGTTACGCAAAGATGAGCTGCTGGAAATGTTTAAGTCTGTGCATTCTGGGCCGACCTGCAAAGATGGACAAATCACAGTTGGACTGGTGAGTTTAAATTACATTTCTACATTATATCATTATTCATATTTCAACTCTAAATTCTCTTAAAGGTGGGATATCCTAATGTTGGAAAAAGCTCTACCATCAACACCATCCTGAGGAATAAGAAAGTCTCCGTTTCAGCTACACCTGGACACACAAAGCATTTTCAGGTGAGTGTTTTCTAATTAATGAACAATGGGGGTATTGAAAATTAATTCTTGACATTTTTTCACGTTTTTGCCACTACATCACTCTTAGGGACAAATTACATTAGCTGTATACCAATAGGTTTCAAGCTATCAGAGTCAAGAATTTAGCAGTTAGCAATTTGGAAATCTATGAACGCGTCTGTTTATTCTTGGGCTTTTATTGACTGTTGGCGTTTCCACATGTTTCAGACTCTGTTTGTTGATCCTGGTCTCTGCCTGTGTGATTGTCCTGGACTGGTCATGCCTTCTTTTTTGTCCACCAAAGCCGAGATGATTTGCAGCGGGATCCTACCCATCGATCAGATGAGAGATCACGTTCCAGCCATCTCTTTGATAACCTTTTAAAACAGCAACGATAATGATAACTGCATTTTTTGCTTGATCTTTTAACACACTACAGTTTGAGGGTGGATGTTTTGGAGTCTCTTATGCTCACCAAGACAGCATTTATTTGATCAAAAATACAGTAAAAACACAAATATTGTTACCCTTAACCTAAATACGTATGTCAGACTATCCCTCGAACTGTGCTGGAGGGGACCTACGGAATCAACATCATCAGACCAAGAGAGGACGAGGACCCTGATCGAACCCCCACTTATGAGGAGCTGCTCATGGCATATGGATGTCAGTTCCATTTGCACTATGTACACATTAAGGAATTTCACAGCACGCTTACTGACCAATCATAATGTATTCTCTTCATGCAGATATGAGAGGCTTCATGACAGCACACGGCCAGCCAGACCAGTCAAGATCAGCCCGTTACGTTTTGAAAGACTATGTCAGGGTAAGTGCCTTTCGTTTGTCAATACCAGCTCTGAATTTTGTAGTTATGAACATGGAAAATGGGAGATGTTAACCTCTTCCTACCTGATTTTCTGCAGGGTAAGCTCCTTTACTGCCACCCTCCACCCCACATCAGCCCTAAAGACTTCCAGCCTCAGCATGCCAGGTTTGCCAGGCAGAGTGGAGGAGTCGAACAGATTGCTAGCGATGCTGACAAACCCTCAAAAGTCAAACGCATAGAGAACACAGTGGATAAACATTTCTTTCATCAAGTGAGATTCAACTCTTGAATGGGTTTATTTTGTGATAACGCCTGCCTGAACATTACATGGCCACTGAAAATGAAATAATTGATTTCAGTTTTGAAGTTGAATCCCTCACAGCACACATAATCTGTCATTTTTCATAGGAAAATGTGCGAGCACTGACCAAGGGTGTGCAGATGGTGATGGGTTATAAGCCCGGAAGTGGTCCTGTTGGGCCTGGAAACACAAACACAGAACAACAGACTGGGAAACCCTGGAAAAAACACGGTAACCGGAACAAGAAGGAGAAAGTGAGAAGACTCAACAAACATCTGGATGCATAATCCCTATACTAAGATGTTTATTGGATATACTCTTTAATGCAAAGACTTTAATTTCACCATGGCTTATACCAGGATGGGATTGATAAGTACTGCTGGACATTCCCCTTTGTATGAAATATCATCACTCATAATAATAAACTATCACTCTGTATTTTATCAGTGTATTGAATGAAAGAGAGTAATGGACACAAACAAATGCTAATAAATGAAGATCTCCTTATGATGTCCTTAAAAGTAATTTTGTTCTATACTAAAATTGTGGATTCCATTTTCCATTCCAGTAGAATATGTGGATGTCTAACAAAGCTGACAATGATAATATATTGACAATTTCTCAGTGCAATTCTCTCAAACTTATAATTAGTACTGCGTTTTTAAAATGTTCTCCAAGTTGTAATGCTATTTAAATATAAGATAGTATGGAATTGTCTGGTAGTAATAACCAAACGTTTGTAAATGACCTTTTTACGGGAAAGAATTGTTAATCTATAAGGGAACGTGTATATTTTGATTTCATTAAATCTGGCAAGTTTCTTACAACTTTTAATCACATATATTTTTTTAAGTATTTCTTGCCTATTCTCAGTGATAAAAGGTCTAATTACATGCATTTTGCGCGCACACACACACATATATGATAAAAAAGTAACATTAAATATTTCTGAACTTCTGAGTATTTTGATGTAAATAGGGATTTGCGAGTCACTTCACAGGACTGGCCAGCGTCCACTTTCTAACCGCAGCCTTACAGCCAATCAGCTGGATGGACGTCACATAGCGTAATTAATATGTATGAGCTAAGCATGTGGGCGTTACCTAAAAGATACAGGTGATTGACGGGTGGTTCAACTTCACTACCATCACTGCAGCTGGCAGCTAATGGTAGAAGTTAGAAACACAAACATTTTTTGAGAGTTACTTCTCCCTCGGTGGGTGACAGCATAAGTGAAACATATGGGTAAAATTATAGTCTTAGACATTGTCCAGCGATGGAGCCCAGAGTTTGTTAAAGGTCGTCTTTGGACATATGAAGTACATATTTGCATCTCGGCTGCTCTTTACGTCTTGTCTGCTTTGATATTACTGGTTTCCTGTTCACTCTTGGTGAGTGTCGTCGTGTGATTAAAAGTAGCCGAGGTGTGTAAATTGATTAACTTGTCGCAATAATAATAATAATCATCATTTGTCGCTCCCTTCCAGTCTTCTTTATCACAGATGCAAACGCGAAGCAAGAGTTTGGGTGATGAAGCAGTCTGCGCTGTGTATTGTTTCGTGGGGAACTTGTGCAGCGCAGTGGGCGCTTTGCTTTCCAAACAGTTTGATTTTCAGGTGAAAAATCATTTAAAGGTTATCAATTTCGCCGAGGAGTTTTATCATTACCTCGCCAACTTTTTTGTCAATGCCTGCCGATTGATATTTGACAATGACACCTACCGGCCGGAAAGTGTACTGTTCAACAGCATGATCATGCTTTATTTATTTATGATACCAGCAGCTGTTCACATTAGACCACTATTTTTCGGTAACCGCTTAATATGGCCTAATTTGACGATGAGTTTGAATATATCAATAAACTTTACATTACAAAGAGTTTCAGAGAGAGACTGGAATTTTTTTAATTAAATATCAGCTTTAATGCACTTATCAAAACAACAAAAGCAGTCAAATCTCAAATGCTTTTGTTTTGATTACAAAAAGAAGTGTTAAAATGTATCCTTTAATTTACAGTCTGCAAAGAGGTGGAAAAAATTCAAAAACACGTCAATAATTAATTTTTCACAAGCTCTGTATTAATAATAGTTAAACTGAACTACAGTAGTCAACATTTGAAGTGGATCAAAACCTTTCATCAAAGTTGTCCTAAAACCAAAACAATACCCGTTCTAGACTTAGCACAACTTTGATTAACTTTTTTTGATCCACTTCAAATGTTGACTACTGTCTATAAACTCTATAAACGGTTCCATTATAATCCACAAAAGGTATCATACCACAAGAAAATTACTCACTATTCTTTAAAAAGTAGTAAGGAGTATGCACTGTGTACTGGGCAGTAAGCAAGTATGCCGTTTCGAACACAGCCTAACATTCTAGATATAAACATTATAAACAGCCCATTTAAATGAAAGTCACATGTTCTGTCCATCTGTTTCAGATTTCTATGGCTTTGTATATGGCAATTTTGAATGTCATCCATTTCTTGTCAGTATCTTTCTCCATTTATTTATGGTATAAGTCTAAAAAAACATTAAAGTGTGACAAACATGCAAAAAAATAAGAAATCAGGAAGCGGGCCAACACTTTTTCACACCACTGTATGTATATATATATATATATATCACTCACTCACTGGTATAATTATGCTTTCAATCATGTCACAATAAATGACTTATCAATCATGTTCTCAAGGAAAGAAAATGAGAATGGTGTCCAGGAGAAGGAGGCAGAATTTTCTAGTTGTGTCTGCTGTTTGTAATGGGTGGCAGCGTTTACTTGGGTTTACCAGTCCATTCAAGTCCAATAATGGTATCTCCAACCATGAGGAGACCACTTGGAATGTTCCTCAATGTAAGTAAAGTAATTCTCAAAAGATTAAAGGTATGTATCATCATATCTGATACTATATGTAAACTTACACCATATGCAAAGTCACGCTTGCTTAAAGGGGTCATGATGCGATGTTGTGAAAGCGAAACTACTTTGTTTGGCCTTCCAAAAGAGGACGATTACCGCTTCGTCATGCCTGGAGCTGATCCGTGCTGGTCGCGCTGTCGATCGCCAGATCGGCTTGCACAGTGGACGAAGCGGAGTCCAGCCCGGGGTCGCCACATGTGGCTGCCGCAAGCCCTCCCGGCGCTCACTCAAGCCAGCCTCCGCTCACTCTACCCTGCCGTGTGTGACGCTGTGTTTCGTTGTGAAAGCGACTGTGAAAGCGAAACTACTTTGTTTGGCCTTCCAAAAGAGGACACGACTAGAAATCAGTGGTTAAGTTG